AGGAGAGAGACAGATGTCGAACGCTGCCGAACGCGGAGGCCGATTGTGCCTCTTTGTCGCTCGTTCCGCGCTCTCGCTTGCACTTCAAGCCTTAAATGGAACGCCTCAGAGCGAGGTAACGCCGCATGAGTCATGTTTTTTCGTGCGCGCAGCCGGCTCCATCGAATTATAAGACTTTGTCACGTCAAAAACTTTTGGGTGTTTCATTCCCACCAGCCAGTAATGCTGGTGGGCGGGCAGTCCCTCCGGACTAAGCCGGAAGGTAGGGCGGAAGGCCCTCTTCAGCCTGCTTTCAGGAATCGTGGGAATGGGTGGGTGGTGGTTCGGGTGAGAAAGATGAGACTGACAAAATGAAGACAGAAGAGAGTGAGATTATCTGTGGAATATTACTGCCTCAGCATTTGCCTAAGTGATTCAAGGAAACCACAGAAAAACTTGGCCCAAGGCAGACGGACCCGGAATCGAACCGGCGTCCTCCCGAATGCTAAGCAATGGTCTAGATCTCTAGGCCATGCCGCTCGGTCTAAAACTAGAACAACCCCCATCCTTAACTATTTGTGAACAGTAATCTAACCTAGGTCTACCTCTACCCCTCCTAACTTCTATTTCTGCCTCTAATATGTCTCTGACTGGACCTTCATGCCTGAAAAGGTGTCCTACCAACCTATCTCGTCTATTTCTTATTGACTTCCACAGAGTCCTCTGTTCTCCTATTCTTTCCAATACCTCTTCATTTCTAAGAAGATATTAAAATAATTTTGAATATTACTCAATAGTCTGCCATGTAATCCGTAGAAACTGAACCTTATAAAAAACCCATATTCAATTGCAAGGCTGATGGTTCTGACACAAACGTTTCCTGGAAATGTATGATATAACATGTCACTTTTACAACAGGTACACTATCACAGTGATAAAAATGCTGTAGATGATCAAAGATTAAACGTTTATGGAATAAAAGGTGTTGTAGATTCATTATACGAACGCTCCAACTCTTATGATAGCTGAGAAAGGTGGAGACATTGTCGAACACGATTTGAATTGAATGCGTTTCTGTAGGTGATCATAAGTCAACTTTATGTGTGACGAAGTACTAAATACATACTAAAGCGGTTAAATATCTTTACAAAAAGTTTGTGTTTAAGTACAGATTATATTTAAAATGTAATACTTTGCTTAGCGAGGAACTGGTGGAAGAAGTTGTTACCGAGAATTAAAAAACTTTTGAACTGCTTACCTACTAATACCACAAATAATTTTTTCATTGTACATTGAATGATTCAACAACATCGATAGAGCCATTAACGTCATAGCCAGAAGAGAGCAATATCAATACTTTAATTATTTGTTGTTGCAAAACTTTACTAGGCTAATAACCGTTTGTTTGACGCAAATATGTTGCCTTTTTTGTTTTGTTTTCAAAACTGTAATTGACGAGGTAAGTACATACATGAACATGACACACTTTCCTAAAAGTTTCTTACGTTACTGAAGAAAATAAGATACACAAATTAACAAAAAAGAGCTAATTTTATGCAAAATTCTGATCAGAATTTTGATAATTACCAAAAAATTATCTTCATTATAAAAAACCATAATTAACTATACAACCGGTTTATGTGATAATCTATCATGACCCTACACAGGACAATTTAAATAGACGATATGATAACTTACTGGATTAAATTAATACTATTGTACTACTTTGTTCACTCGCTAGAAATTTATTTTCATTAGCCTCAATGGCCTCAGTTACCTTCAATGGTCCTCCTTGCTTTCATTCAACGTATCACCATCATCATCATAAGGTCATCAGTCCCAAGACTGGTTGGACACGTACCTCCACTCTTTCCTATCCTGAGCTAAACTTCGCATTTCCCTAAAACTGCAACAGCCCACATCCTTAACTATTTGCGAAGAGTAATCTAATCTAGGTCTACCTCTACCCCTCCTAAATCCTGTTTCTGCCTCCAATATGTCTCTGACTAGACCTTCATGCCTGAGAAGGTATCCTACCAACCTATCTCGCCCATTTTTATTGACTTCCATAGAGTCCTCTGTTCTCCTATTCTTTCCAATACCTCTTCATTTCTAACTTTTTCTACCCACGATATCCTCATCATCCGCCTATAACGTATATCAGCCATTAATATTTGGTTAGACCAAATAGTATCTAAATGTCGAATAAATAACTTTCCTACACTTAACTATTTGCGAAGAGTAGGTACCTAATGTAATCCAGATCTACCTCTCTCCTTATAACTCCTGTTTCTACCTGTAATATGTCTCTGACTAGCACTTCATTTCAGAGAATGTGTCCTAGCAACCTATCTCGCTATTTCTT